AAAAATCCAAGCCTAGTTCGCTGCCTAGGTCCTTAGAAATATTCATAAAAAGTCCATGCCTTGTCCTTTAAAAAAATGCCTCATAAATCTATGCCTAAGCCTTTTACAAACCTGAAAAAATCCTTTATAGTATCCTCTCCATTCCCTTGCTTACAGTCAATTCTCCAATGTTCCCCTAGACCCTCCCTTTGGCATTCACTTAATTCCTCGTAATTAGATGCATTTCATTCATGGCGGAGCCACAAAAAGTCAGGCGATTTCATTACCCGGCCATTGCGTGAAATATAATTCTGATTACATTTCGGTTGCCATTGATTGAGGCAATATCAGAAAAATCTGAATAGAATTGAAATGGACAACAAATTTGAGCACCAAAGAGAGAATGCACACACACACGCAGACAGACACATGCACACCATAGCCCAACTCTATACAAGGAGTGAGATAAAAATATTGAAACGTGCAATGGATGCCGGTAATGGCGGCAAATGTTCATTTCATTGTTAAACTCTGTTTGTATCCCACCCGAAATGCAGATGAGGGCAAGGGGACACCGCTGTAAATGACATAATACTGCCAATTTTGTGGACAATTTGTTTTTTTTTTTTTTGCTTGTCTTCCCCACTTGACAAGGGTTTGTCTGATTGGTTCATTGTCCACAATTTGTTGGGGGTATAAATACATTGTTCTCTAACTTCGAGGCAAGTATTCGTGGTAGAACGTTAAACAGGTGTTCATCGCAAAATGTTCAAAGTCGTTAGTATTACATCCTGAAATTGAATATTTTTTGTTGATTTTAAAGAAATTAAAAAAAAAATTGTGTGTTTTTTAGTTCTTCTTGTTGCTCGCTGCTCTCTTGGCCATGGCCACGGCTGCCCCCTCGCCAGTGGCCAGCCCAAATCCTGCACCCGCTCCTGCCCCCAAGCCCCAGGTGTTCTATGCTGGTTATCCTGCCGTCTATAGCTATGCCTATCCAGCTGTCTACTATGGTTGATTTTCATGGATTTTACAAAAGAAAAATTCAGGAAAAGATTAACCACGGCATTGGTGTCATGAAATGGATGGATAATGGGAATTTGTTAAAGGATATTATTTATGATTTATTTTTTATTCATTTTTTTTGTTTAATTAAATGCATTTGAAAAAAGCAAAACATGTCTTGTTACAAGAAGTGTTTGGGGTTCTGCAGTTGGTGGGGAAATTGAGTGGTTGATTAGATCACATCTCGAAAAATGAGAATGCATAGAATTTGGGTGTATAGATTATTTTGAGAAAAACAACAAGTAAAAAAGCAGCTAAGTTCGGCCGGGCCGAACTTTTAATAACCTCCAGTATTTGGAAGGAACGTGACAAATTTCCAAAAACTTCCGAAAACTACCACTACCACTGAATAATGTCGCAAAAATCATAAAAATACCGAGTAATTGGAGGTATCGTCATATGGGAGCTATACGACGACGTGGACCTGCTAACGAAAATGTTTGTCATAGGCTGTAGTGCCCATTGCGAACTTCAAATACGAAATTTGAAACGATTCCGGTGAATAATGTAGCTGCAATCATTAAAATACCTAATATCGGGGAGGGGGGTATACGAAGACGTGGAACTTTAAATATGAAATAATTCCGGTAAATACTGTCGCTAAAATAATAAAAATACCGAATATCGGGAAGGGCCGAATATCGGTCCTAGCTATACGAAAACTTGGACCGACATGACCCATTTACGAACTTAACCTGACGGACGTCGCTAGATCGTCTTAGATTTTTACGCTGATCCAGAATATATATACTTTGTAGGGTCTATTATAAATATTTCGAGGAGTTACAAACGGAATGACAAAGTTAATATACCCTCCATAGAATGGTGGAGGGTTTAACAAGTAAAAAGGCAGTAAGTTCGGTCGGGTCGAACTTGTAATACCCTCCACCATTTGGAACGAAATGGAAATTTTCAAAAAAATAAAATCCATTAAAAATTTTGTTAAAATCTTAAAATTAACGAATATCGGATGGAGCCTATATATAGGGAATATACGATATTGTGGACCTATATAGAAATCTACTTCTGGGGGTAAAGTACTCACAAAGAACTCCTTTTTTAGAATTTCAGACAATTCCGTTGAAAAATATGCTAAAATCATAAAAATACCGAATATAGGAGAGCACCGTTATATGGGGGCTATATGATATCGTGGCCCTATATAGATAATTCTCTTCCAGGGGATATGTACTCACAATGAAATCCTTGTGTAGAATTTCATACAATTCCATTGAAAAATGTGGCTAAAATTATCAAAATACTGAATATCGGGGGGTACCGTTATATGGGGGGCATACGATATCGCCGACCTATAAAGACAATTCTCTTCCAGGGGATAAAGTACTCACAAAGAACTCTTTGTGGGGGCTATGTATGGTGCAGGGTATAAAAATATCCCAATAAGATTCGGAAATATCGAAGTCATGGTCTCAATCCCACAACAATCAACTACTTCCAGGTTTTATGGACAATGAACCCATATGACAAATAATATCGGAAGGTAAGGGATATCCCCCACACGCTGGTAATATCGACTAAAACACAACTAAGATGCTCAAAATTCCTGAGGGTCACTCTTTGTCCGAAGGCTAGGTTTTTGGAAATTTTTGCTACAACCGTACTACAACGAGGAAGTAGTAGAACTAGAACTCTTAAATTTGGAATGAGGCTCACTCATCGAGGGTACGATAGATGTATTAAAGAAATTCGTACTATAAGTGTGTGAAAAGTACTAAAAGGTACTACATTTTGTACAATTTCATATCATGTGAACGGTTAGAGTTAAAAACTTGAAATTTGGAATGAGAATCAATGTTGACGAGCATAGCCGATGTAAGGAAGTAGTTTTGGATGTGTGTACTCATGTATGCGAAAAGTACTAAGCGGTACTAAATTTAGTACAATTTGCATTTGGAGGAATGGATGGAGCTGGAATTCTGAAAATTGAAATTAACAAAACTGGCGGAGTCTAGGATTGGGATATGAAGGGAGTTTTCGATATGTGTACTTATGTGTACGAAAAGTACTAAGTGGTACTAAATTTGGTACAATTTAAATTTTGTGAAGACCAATAGAGTTGGAATCTTGAAATTTGGAAACAATATTACTAATGCATTGTAGGACTGAGGTATGTAGATAATTTTGGAAACTCGTACTTATGTGTACTAAATGATACTAAATTTGGTCCATTTTGAATTTTGTGAGAACCAATAGAGTTGAAATCCTGAAATTTGAAAATAAGATTTCTATTGGACTCCATGATGTAGGTAGTTATGAAAATTTTTACTTAAGTCTACTAAATGGTACTAAATTTGGATTTGGGTTGGCTGGAATTCTGAAATTTAGAAAAAAGATTACTATTGCTTTCTAGGACTGAGGAATCTAGACAGCTTTGGAAATTCGTACTTATGTGTACTTAATGATACAAAATTTGATACAACGTAAATTTTGGGAGAATCAATGGAGTAGGAATCCTGAAATTAGAAAATAAAATAACAATTGCATTGTACCACTGAGGTATGTAGGTACTTATGTGTATTAAATGGTACTAAATTTGGTACAATTTAAATTTTCGGGAATGAGTAGCGTTGGAATCTTGTAATTTAAAAATAAGATGTCTATTGGACTGTATAATATAGACAGTTATGAAAATGTATACCTTATGGTACTAAATTTGGTACAATTTGGATTTAGTCGAAGCAATAGAACTGGTATCCTGAAAATTGAAAATAAGATTACTGTCAGAGTGTAGGATTGGAATATGTAGGTAGTTTTGGAAATTTGTACTTATATGTACTTAAATGTTCTAATTAGAGTACAATTTGTATTTGGCGAACCCACAGGGGTGGAATCCTGAAATTTGGAATTGGGATTACTGTGGGAGTGTAGGAAAGGGTACTAAGTACTAAATTTGGTACAAATTGAAATTGTGATGAACCGATGGAGCTGGATTTCTGAAATTTGGAATAAGAGCCACTGATGTAGGGCAGGATGCATGCACCAAAGCATTATTGAAATTTAAAACTTTAAGATTACAAAAAGTTCTAAAATGGTACTATACTCCCAAAATAGTACCATTTGGTATTATGTGAACGGATAAAGTAAACTACTTGAAATTTGGTATGAGAATTAACGTTGTAAAATAAGTTCGATACATTAAGGTGATTCGGAAAATGTGTAGTATGTGTGTGTACTGTACGAAATGGTACGAAATTTGGAACAGTTTGGTATAGAGTGAATGAATAAAGGTGAAATTTTGTAGTGGGGTCCCTGTTGGTAGTTGTTTCGTTATAAAGAGGTGGCTTTAGAAATGTCTACTTCAAGTGCAGGAAAAGTACTAAATAGTACTGCGTTTGGTACAATTTGCTTTGGGTGAACAGATAGTGTTTGAAATCTGAAATTTGTCATTACGGTCGCTGTTCGTATGTAGTGGGGACAAAGGGAAGTGATTGCGGAAATGTGTACTTTAATTGTACGCAATGTACTACATTTGGTATTGGTACAAAATGGTACCCAATTTGGTATTAGATGGAGGAATAGAGCTGATATTCTGAAATTTGATATTATGGTTACTGTTGATATCTGGTGTTGAGGACTGGTGGTGGTTTTAAAAATGCGAACTAGATTGTTCGAAATGTACTAAATGAAAAACAGTTGGTATCTATGCGCACTAAATGTTACTAGAATGTGAAGGGATAGAGATGAAGCCCTGAAATTTAATATTGAGGTCTCTATTATGAAAAAGTCCATAGAAGACTAGTTGGTCTTTCCGATAGAAGACTAGTTGGTCGTCTCCAATAGGTCTTCTTCATAGGAGACCAATAGTTATCTTCTCCATAGAAGACCAATAGGTCTTCTCCATAGGAGACCAATAGGTCTTCTCCATAGAAGACCAATGGGTCTTCTCCATAGGTCGTCTTATAGGTCCATATTACGATTACAAGTTAAATTCAAAAAAATATTTTCTCGAAATCAAATTTTTATTAAAATTAAGTAAATTTTAGTAAAATCAAATTCTGAAGAGAGAGGTCTGTAGTTGTCCGATCAGTTGCATTATCCTTTCAAATTTAGACACTTTAACCATAGTAAGCAGCGGGATAGCCATAGCTGTAGGCAGCTGGGTAGCCACCGTAATAGAATTGTGGGGCTGGAGCTGGTTCAGGACGAGCCACGGGGGCAGGAGCTGGAACAGCTGTGGCCAAGGCAACCAAGGCGGCGAACAACAAAAAGAACTGCAATGAAATTGGATTTTTGAATATCCGAAATAGATTTCTAAAAATTTTCTGATCCACTTACGATTTTGAACATTTTTGGGAGTTTTGAAATGCACTTGTTACTGATTGAAAGTGGAAATGTGTTTATCGTTGCAGTGCTGGATGAATTCCTTATATAGGGGACATTGGTATGTTTGTAGGAAACAAAATAAAAAAAACTAATAATTAAGTAATTCTATTTGATATTCTCCTCATGTCCGATACAATTGCAATGCAATGCAAATTAAATACTTGAAATATTATTTCCCACCAAAAGATAGAGAATAATTGATTGACTTTTATCAAAAGACTTCAATGTATGTATTTCCAATCCATTCTGAGAGAGGAGCAAGAATTAACATCTCCATGTAGAAGAAATCACACAAAAGTAACGATCACAAGGGGGCCCCTGATCCCAGATCCCTCGTACTCGGTCATCCCTCAAGGTGCATCCTTAATTACAAAATCGTCCATTTATATGAACCCAAGCAACCGGAAGTTCACTGTCAGGACTTAAGTGTCAAATGATTCGAAAACCCTTTGCATACTCCCAGCTATATAACTAGAGAGGTTATGTATCATTTGATACGGCCAAAAGGTGTCTCATCGAAATAATGGTCTTAGACACTAGATCTCTTTGGACCAAATCATTTTAAAGACATTTGGAGTCGATCTAGTGATGTCCGTCCGTCCGCCTGTCTGTCTATCTGTCTGACGGGGGCACACGATAACTCTCGAAGGAAGTATCCGATTTGGTCAAAACTTCTTACATCATAATATTATTATGAAATTTAGATCGAGTTCGCAGAAGGGCAATATCGGTCCCATTCATCCCCAACAAAATATCATCATTAAAAAAAAAAACAAGTTAAAAAGTATCAGTCGGTATTGCCGCCAGAGATATACCCTCAGCCTATGTTCGATTATCTAAATATATGTTGACTAGTGTTAAGGTTATTGAAACGTTTGACCCTCTATGGAGCAGATCCCGAAGGAATGGGCCAATATTGCCCATTTCCTATCGGACCCAAAATATGATATAAATATTTCGACAAATGTGCCTAGTCTAAATGGAATCGGATGTTAATTTGGCGATTTATGAGCTTCATGGGTACTCAAAATTTCAATATTTTGTGGGGGAGGTACTTGATGGAGTGAACCGATATTGTCCATTTTCACACCTGAACTAGCACTGACGCAAATATTAGGATTTACAAAGTTGGATCAAATTCGGATTATCCTTTCTCTTCCTGTGCAAAAAATATATTTTTTGAAAATTTCGACCTTTTGAGGGGGAGGTACCAGAAGGAGTGGACCGATATTGCCCATATCCGAACTCGATCTAAGTTTGACAAAAAATATTACGTTGTAGCTAATTTGGACCAAATCGGATACTCCCTTCGAGAGTTATCGTGCGCACCAGCCAGCCAGACAGACAGACAGACGTACGGACGGACATCGCTAGATCGTCTCCAAATGTTCTGAAACGAATTTGGTCCAAAGAGACCTAGGGTCTAAAACCGTTATTTCGACTAGGCACGTTTTGGCCCTATCAAATGATATATACCCTCTGTAGCCATATGGCTGAGGGTATAAAAAATACTGCACAAAAAACGAAATGATATTCCGATTTTACTCCAACTTTATAAATCCTAATATTTGCATCAGTGCTAGGTCAGCTGCGAAAATTGACAATATCGGCCCTCTCCATCACGGAACCTCCCCTCACCCAAATGGTTAAAATTTTGAATAAATGTAACTATTCTAATATGTGATATAAGTGACTGATTGTCTTCAAATGTCACACATCACAATATTTTAATTAAACCAAGGTCTGATGTGAAGATGGAATGTACCGGTCTACTCCTTCTGGTACCTCCCTCACAAAGGGTCAAAAATTTTAATATTCACAAAGCTCATAAAACGCGAAATTAACATCCGATTTCATTCAGACTAGGTACATCTCAATATTTCTATCAACACAAGATTTGTTATAATGATGGTATAGATCGGACTATTTCTTCTGGTACCTCCCCACAAAGGGTCAAAGATTTAAATAACTAAAACGATTATAAAATCCGAAATGAGCACCCAATTCTCTTCATATTTCGCACATCCCATTAGTTTAGCTTACACAACAGCTGCTGTAATGATGGGATATAACGGCACACTGCTTCTGGTACCTCTCCCACAAAGTGTCAACATTTTGAAAATCCATGAAGCTCAAAAACGCGACACAAGATCGGACCATTCCTTCTGGTACCTCCCACACAAAGGGTCAAAATTTTGAATAACCAAAACGATTATAAAATCCGTAACAATTTTGAATATCTATCAAAGTCATAAAAAGCGAAACCATCATCCGATTTCATTCAGATTTGGTACATCTCAATGTTTGCATCAACACAAGATCTGTTATAAAGATGGTAGAGATCTGGCCAATTTTTTCTGATACCTCCCCCACATAGGGTTCAAGATTTTGAAAAACAAAACGCTCAAAGAAGGCGAAATAAGCATCCAACTCTCTTCAGATTTCACACATACAAACATATTTACTCACACAAGATCTGTTGTGAAGATGACATATATCTGCGAACCCCTTTCAGGAACCTCACACACAAAGGGTTACCATTTTCAATACTTTTATTTGTCATAACTTGCGAAACAAATAAGCAATTCTTTACAACTTGCTGTACCTAAATATTTCCCTCAACCAGAAACCTGAGATGAATATGGAATATATGATTTCGCATAAAATTGGATATATATGTTCGAATATTTTATTCTGTATTAGACGAAGTATGAAAATGAAACACTTCGGTCGACTAATTTCAAAAATTTTCAAGAGTTAAGTATTTAGGTAGGTTGGAACATAATCGATCCTTTTGGGTTCAAATATCCATATCTCTGGATCCAGCATTTTGAAAAGGTCATAGCGTCAAATATAATTTGACATAAAATGGGAGTCCCCAACCAAAATGGGGCGTTTTTCAACTTTTGGGGAATTTAAAAAAAAAAAAATCCAGGAAGTTTTCATAAAACTTCCGAACCTCATAATGTGACCACTTTTTGGATAGGTATTATCATTAGCTTTCAAATGATAAATATATTGTCTATACCGGTTGAGTTGGTCCATTTCTTTCGAGTCAAATGTGTAGGCATACGGGTCCGTCTCCCAAGAAAAAAAATATACTTTCTCGGAATCATCTGCTTCTGGAAAATTTTGTAAAAAAAAAGCTGTAAGCTCGGCCGGGCCGAACTTTGAATACCCTCCACCATTTAGTACAAATTTGGCAATTTTCAAAAAAATAAAATCCGTTAAAAATTCTGTTAAAATCTTAAAAATACTGAATGTAGCCGTATACGACGACGTCTATACGACGACGTGGACCTGCAAGCTATTACAATATTCAAATGCGAAATTTGAAAAAAAAATCTGTTTAATGTAGCTAAAATCATCAAAATACCGAATATAGGGAGGTAAAATGGGGGTTATAAGACGTGGACCTGCACAAACAATTTTCTGGTATAGGCTGTAGTATTCATCACGAACTTAAAATGCGAAATTTGAAAAAATACCGGTGAATAAATTCGCTAAAATCATCAAAATACCGAATATCTGGAGGTACCATTTGTATGGGGGCTATACGAAGACATGGACCTGCACAGACAATTTTCTGTTTCAGGCTGTAGTATCTATTACGAACTTTAAATACCCATTTTGAAACAATTCCGGTAAATAATGTCGCTAAAATCATCAAAATACCGCATATCGGCAGGTACCATTATATGGAGCCTATACGAAGACGTGGACTTACATGGTCCATTTTCAATATCAAAATTCCTGCAGACATAGTACACATTTGAGTAAAATTTTATCAACCTACTTCATTTCGTTCGGAAGCTAGTGTGATTTCCACAGAGGGACAGAGGGACGGACATTGCTAAATCGACGGAATGACAAACTTAATATACCCTCCATACTATGGTGGAGGGTATACATATTCTAGAGCTTTTACTACACTAGAGTTAAGTAGCTGATTTTTCTGACTAGAATTGGCATCCAGCTTTCCAACACCAGGACCTACATCGTGCTTCTGCAAGAAGATGCGAACACATTGAAACAAACAAAAATTACCGGTAAAGCTGTATGGGGTTCATATCAAATCGTGGACCTATTTCCTTCATATGGTAATCATCCGTACGACCAGAACTCAAAGTGCAAAATTCATTGAGACTGCAATCAGTAAAATATCGAATATAAAAGGGGAACTGCAACGTGCGAACTAAACAAAATAGTAGAGCAAATTGGAAGAGGATTTATATCCTCTCCTCAAGATACTCGAAATCGAAAGTACCGGTATATGGCGAACTATTCGCAGTAGAGAGTGATTACAATGTGCAACAGTGAGAAATTCTAGGTGGAAAGTATTCGATTAGTAGATCGAAATCCCAAATGGATTTTAGGTTCCCAAGACAACGTTTTTTACGGCCCATAATATAGCGAAGGGGCTCAAATATTTTGCTTTGTGCTTCGCAATATTTAAGATAGAGCTATTAAAACTGATAAATTCCTATGGGTTAGAAGAGGCCCACGTTTTGAGGGTCACATTCCCCTGATTTCAGTTATTTCCGGGGTCTTGGCCAATTTTTTTAATTGGTTTACCCATCACTGGCATCTTAGTTTCTGAGGAAGTAGGAAACTTCTTCTTCGAAAATGTTCAACGTAGGTCAATATTTTCGAGTACCGCTCATATATAGGTACCTCCTGAGTTTACCTATTTCGAGGGTCTTGAACATATTTATACCCTACACCACAAGGTGGTCAGGGTATTATGTCTTTGTGCATTTGTTTGTAACAGGCAAAAGGAAACGAGATAGACCCATAGTTTATTTTGATGATCTGCATAGAATCACATTCTGAGTCGATTTTTGCATGTCCGTCCATCCGTCTGTCTGTCCATGTATTCTTGTGAACAAAATGCAGGTCGCATTTATTATCCGATTGAGATGAAATTTTGCAAACAACATTTGTTTGGCCCAAGGACGAACCCTATTAAAATTGGAGACAATCGGTCAATATTTAGATATAGCTCCCATATATATCTTCGTCCGATTTGCTTTTTATTGTGCACCAAACGTG